TTGTAGCACATATCAAATGTAAAGTAAAAAACAAATAGGTCTAACATGTAGGAAATTCTACTTTATGATATGGCCGGACCTTCTTATCTGCAGTGAAGGTAAGGCTTGGTAAAAGTGAAGCGGGCGCGGGTAGGCATGGCAGGCCCGGTCATGCATGGAGGCCTGGCGTTACACCATGGAGGAAGGAGTATAGCCTAGGCCTACATGGTATAGGCCTAGGGCATGTAGGGGCCGGAAAGAGTTCCATATAGGCCTACGAAGTTCACTTGACACCTTGTGTACAAACCCTATGAAACTGGTCTGAGAAATTGTACGTGTCGACTATGAAAATGCTTGTATTTTCTCACTCCTGAAATTGACTTCTATGACATGTAATTGCTTTCTGGGGGTTGATTAATCATTTTAGGGACAAATGAGTGAACTTCGTATATGGAATTCTTTCCCTCTAGTAGGCCTAGTAACGTTAGTCATTCTTCAATCCTAACATGTCTGCTTTAGAAAAATTTCACTGACATTTCAGGATGAAAATACAATTTTCTCGGCCGCCTCTGGCAAACTTGAAAACGACCGGTCTATCGAGTCACGCCATTTTCTAGTTTGGCAACTAGACCCAGGGACTGCTAACGTTAGTTACTATTCATCAACGGTCATGGCACCAGACTAACGTTATATTCCTCGATAATTTTATCACGTTCGAGTCTGCTGTAGGCCTAGCCCGTCTTGCTGTCTGTGTTGCAATGTTTGCCCTGTAATTCTCTTTAAAATAATAGCCCTGACTTCTTATCACAACCACAATATCAAAGCGGACATCATTGCCAACTTATCTAGGTGAGTTATTTTGTAAAAGTGGACTTTGTTTCTTTATTATAGGAACCGGGTGCTAAAAGTAACGATCACTCTTACTGGACTCCCTTCGTATTCTTCCTTGGCCCTACTCAGGTCTATAGAAAAAACGTATAAAGACGCTTCCTATGAACCCACTATCTCTCGGGGGCATATACTCACCAAAGGAAATCAGAAATCCACAATTTTGGGAGCCCATCAGCATGAGCAGCCCTTCCTTTTCGTGAAATTTTGGCCTCTATTTCTTGTGTCGTGACTCTGCCATTCGTTACTGCAGTGATGCACTCCTTTGAAAATTAAGTCCACACGCAAGCGCACTTCAATGTTCATTGACGCCTTCAGTGGCTCTTGCGAATAACAAAAAGCAGGATGGGCGAGGTTTCAACACTGCACTGCGTGACCCACCTTTTGTAACGCAAACAAACGCAAAAAATAGTGGTGAACATCTAAGTGCGCTGGCGTGTGAAATTCATTTTCTGAGGAGTGCATCACTGCAGTAGGTCTAACAAATGGCAGAGTCGCAACGCGAGAAATAAAGCCAAAATTTCACGTATTTTATAGGCCAAAATGTCAATGAGCACCAGTAGCCATTTTAACCTCATCCTAGGGCTTCAAAGATTTTTCTAAATATTCTGCCTCGCTTGTGACTGTGCAATGCTGAACGCAACTAAAAAAAGTAATAAAATAACAGTTCTTATGCATGTACACATTGTCTGGCTTGATGACGGTTGTGCTTGTTAGACATAATACCCATTTGAGCAGTTCAAATCAACATGTCAAAGGGAGTTAAAGTCTGATATGCAAGGATGGAGTGGACTCTAGATTAATGTCTTTGATCTTGAAATCGCCAATCATTGAATAAAGCTAAGTTTCAACATTTCTCATGCATGCAGGTACTACCTTACTTCAGAGCAGTATGGAGGAGTTGCTGAACAGCTTTTGACAAAGTTTCTGAACCTTTCTTCTGAATTGGATACAGCAAACAGAAAGGTTTGTCTTCAGTAGAGAGGATTCACATTGAAGTAACATCAAGATGAGGTTGTTGGAAAGCTTTCTTTGCAGAAGATTGTGGGTTATGCATCAAAAATCCATTTGTTTTACTATGCTGTGTACATTAGAGGGAACATTAATTATGTTTTGTACATTTCATTTTGAGTTTGAGGCTTCAGACAAACAATAATGCCAAGATGTGTAGTTGTTTGATATTGGCTCAGCAGTTGACCATGTTGACTATATTCCCCATTTTCCCCACAGCAACTTTACACTTGGTTATGATTGCTTGTTTTTAAGAACTACATGATTTTCATCAAATGTGACTTGCGTACTTGGATCCTTTTATCTGCCAAAGCCACTATGAACAAAACTATCTAGTTGCTGGCATGTTTAGTTTGGCTGTTAGTGTTTTCAATTTTTTGTACAAACATGACGAAGAGGTAATGTTTTAAACGGACTAGATTATCAAACCAGCCTAGTTGAGTGTAGGATGAGCATACAACAATATTATGAGTGATGTCTGACAAAAATAAACTCTTTCATGTGGTCTTTTGAAATTTTCATTGCATGTATGTTTCTGTTTTTTGCTTCTTAGACCTTGTGGATCACCAAGTTGAAATATAAATTCCAGAATGCCCGAAAAAGAGACAAGGACATCAGGGCATCACTTCAAGTTGTGGATAGGAAGCGAAGACAGACCCCAGCAGCCAGACACCCAGCAAAAATTCCTTCTAAGTCATCAAAGTTTCCACCTGCCTTTGGCTTGGAAAACTACTGCCCACCCAGGGAATCATCAGAAGATGAAAACTCAGTACACCGTCACACGGAATGGTTGAAGGTCGAAAGCACTAAGAAGAGGCCAAACTACGAGGAAGTGACTCAGCGTATGATGTTAACATATGCTGATAGACGCTCAGCCATCATTAACAGCAAGTACAGCACACAGACACTGAAAGAGACCTACCCATGGCTCTTCCGGGATGAAGGAGATGAGGTGCGTGCATATANTTCTTGGCACCGTTGCAAAGGAAATTTCCTGATCTATAAATATAATCAGGTCAGAAGGTCAAGAGTCACCTCTAGGCCAATGAAACAAAGCGAAAGTTAATGTAAACAACCTTGATGTTGTTGCCATGCTGTGCCATAAAGTTGCGCGTCATTGGTTGATTTTGAACATGTGATTGGTTAATGTATGCTGATGTCATTTCTGCGCTCGCGCAGTTGACACAAAACACACTGCGCTTGCGTAATTTTATGCACATTAGGGTCTTTAACATAACAGTTTCCCACGGCCGCGGTCAGCCACGAGAACGGTTTTTGTCAATGACTGATCGCAGTCTAGTCATGGATTCTCAGGAAAAGCGTATATCGGAGCTGCTTAATAGTATCCAGGGCTGCAATTTACACGCAGCAGATGAAGACGGTGCCGAGTGGAAGAAACTTATTGCCGATTATTTCATACACAATACATCGAGCGACTCTGAATCTGAATCTGATTATGATAGTGATACCGAGAACGACGAGGCGAACGACGAGCGCGAGGCGAACAGTGACACTGGTGCTGACGACGATGAACGAGAGATCGAGAACGATCAGCATGACGAGGTGCACAGCTTACATGTACCAAATCCGCAAATCCCACTTGTGTGTTTTGACATTGACGATGGCAACACCAACACTGACCAAGAGTTGCATGTTGGAGAAAGAATTGCATGCGAGGAAGCCAACAATTCAGTCAGTGAACATTATGAAACTGAGAAAAGAAAAGTAGAAAGCTTTAAATGTGCCTCCAAAAGTGAAGCATGTCATCAAGCCTTCAGCAGTGAAGCAATTCTGGCATCGCGTCTGGAGCTTCGTGTGTTTAACGAAGGTAGCCTACATTGATTATCGAGAACCTACACTTGCACATTATTCTTTGGTTGTAACTTGTATAATGCTTTGGGCGATTTTATTTTATAAGCCATCTTTTCTTTTGGGTTTGATTTCTTTCAGATTCAATTCCATTCATGTATCTTGTTTTTTTTGGTGGGGGGGGTTCGAGAAGGGTGCAAGGGCACTGTATTCTACCCGAATAAAAATGGCTTTGTCTTAGTCTAGAAAAAAAGTTTCATAAATGCAAAGCATATTGAAGGCATTTCCGTTGATGACTAACGCATTATTTCATTTTCTGAGAGTTGATATTGACTTAAGCTTAGCCAGGCATGCCAGGAATGATGAACTGATTTATTTTTTGCATACTGTTGTTTCATTTTGGTTAGATCCAAAATCCATGTAAACTATGTAGGCTAGGCTGAATTTGTACATCTATTTCATAGAGTTATTGAACTCAGACCTTGTGAATCCTAGCCTAGCTTTCTTCTAATCGCCAACAGCTTACATTACGACCTTGGAGAATGCTGTCGCTGGCTAAAGATCTCCGAAAATTCAAAATGTAGAGTTCACAATGTAAAAAGCAATCATATCTGATTTCTGAATTTAGAAACAAGCTATGTTGAAATCTGTAAAAGTTTTGCAAGTAAACTACTTTAGCTCATCAGCTAATCGCCCTAATCCTTTCTGAGAAGACACCATAAAGGCTGCATGATTATTACGCAAGTTCAGCTTGGAACTGTATTGACCTGTGAATAACTTAAAAATCTAACCCATTATGTAGGGAATAGAATTTTGAGAGACAGACTTTGTGTGCTTTAATCTAAATTTATTGCCATAGCTCAGGTACCAATCTAAGTGACTTCTGCTCTAAATATTCCGTTTCAGCTGAGAAGGACTTGCTTGTGATGGGGGCCATCCAGGGACATACAAACCGCTCCAAAATGACGACAGCACTCAAACATACGCCTTCAACCAGGAAGCGTGCCCACACTGAGTACTTTGTTAGAGGGAAAAAAGTGTGCCGAGAACGTTTCATGTTTATGTTTGCGTGAGTAATTTGATTAAATCTGCTAAAAACTGTTGTCATACTTTGCATTACTTCTTTTCATAGCATGTACAAAGTGCAGAAATGCACACTTGTTTGGTGAAAACATTTCCTTGTTCAGCATATTTCATCCATTCTTCCTCCTTCTCCTTTCCGTGTCCTTTATTAACCCACACTCTCCCTTTCCTCATCTGTCTCTCATTTTGTTCCTCGTTTGAATAACTTTTGTCTCTACCTGTGTATTTTGCATTTTTATAAATTCTTTCAGCATTAGCAAAAATAAACTATCAGCAGTGCAAGCGCACTACCAGGAGAATGGCATCAGCTCTAGAATCAAGACTACCAAGAGGAAACAACGTAAATCAGCCCTGTCATTCGAAGATATCCAACGGATCGTGGTGTTCTTGCAGAACTACGCCTCAACGCATGCTATAATGCTCCCAGGCAGGGTTCCAGGCCACAAAAGGGACGAGATCCTCTTGCTGCCAAGCAATACTACAAAAGCCAGTGTACACCGAGTGTACAAGAACATCATGAAAACGGGTGGTAAGTGTTGTTAATGCCAGCGATTCACAGTACTGTGCCACCAAGCATCACTAATGCCTTTGCCAATCACAGTGCACATTTGCATTGTTTGAACACGATGACACTACCTGAATGTGCATTGTGATCAGTCAATGAGTTACAAATGCTTTGTGGCCCAGTATTGTGAAGCGCCCATATTCTGTGTAAAATTTTACCTTAGAGGAGTTGAACTAGTATTACTTAAGACAGGCAACTACATGTACATGTAGCACTATCAGGTATTCGACACAACTACTACACTCAACGTCCTAGGCCATATTTACATCCATGCATGACACATTCTCTCATTTTGCAGGATACAGAGTTGTTGCCCCTACATCCTTCAGGGACATCTGGAGGGAGCTGTGTTCGCACATTATCATCACCAAGCCAATGACAGACCTGTGCCCCACGTGTCAAGAAAACAACAGCTCCATCATAAGGTGACCTGCCAGGGTGATCATTGTAATAACAAAATTTACATGTTTAGTCCTGATAATACATGCACTTTGATTGCAAATAAATGTACATGAAATTTTTTCAAAGTTTACCATCACTACTGCTGTTACGAGGTCAGCGAACATGAGTGAAGAAGAAAAGGGAGAAAAGCTGAAGGAGCAAGAGAAGCACCTTCTGACGGCTACCAAGCAGCGTTCCCACTACACGTCACAAGTTCAGCAAGCCAAAGCAGCGCTGGATGGTCAGCGCTTTGATACTGCAGACAAGTCATCACCCCCTGCAACTGCACACTACTCATTTGACTTTGCTCAGCAAGTTCACTTTCCCCATAAGCCTCTTCAACCAGGGCCGATATATTTCCTAACGCCTCGGAAGTGTCTAATATTTGGTGTATGTGCTGAAGCCATCCCGCAACAGGTGAGTCCTCTGAACCTCTGGTAAACTGCCATCAAACGACCCTCCAAGGGTAAGCCATTAAAATGAAACTCTTCTTTGTTCCTGTGCAACAAGCAAGCACTTTGTGCCTCAATTTCTCGATGAAAAAATATGGCGACTTAAACTTTACAAATCGAAGTCAAGATATCTTGTGCTCCTTGCTTTTTAAAGTTAGAACGTAACTAACACAACCATAAACCAGAAAAACCCCAGACTGGTTTACAATGCCCTTTTCTCAAAAACTTGGAACGAACCTTGGCTTGTAATGCCGATCTAGATTATGGGCTTATGCATGTCTATACATGTATGTTATTTTCAGATAAACTACCTGATGGGTGAGAGTTTTGTCATTGACAAGGGATCCAATCTGGTTATCAACCTCCTTCACCACTTCTTTGGTCAACACAGTTTGATGGAAGCATCGGTTAATTTACACTGCGGCAATTGTAGTGGCCAAAATAAAAATAGGTTTCTTCTTTGGTACATGCCATGGCGGGTGATCAACAGCCACCACCACTCCATCACACTCAACTTTCTCTTGACTGGACACACCAAGTTTGCACCGGATTGGTGTTTTGGTCTGTTGAAGAAACGTTACCGTGTGACTGATGTGTCCAGTCTAGATGAGTTGTGTGATGTTGTGCGCACAAGTTCACTGACCAATCTTAATGTACCCCAATTAGTTGGGAAGGAGGATGGCAGGCAGTTTGTTCCTCAGTATGACTGGCACTCATTTCTTGGCCCCTACTTCAAGACTCTTCACGGTATCAAGAAGTATCACCACTTTAGGTAAGGAATTCTAAAAGTTAAAAAACATTGATAAGATCCTCAAGATACTGTAGCAGAAACTAAAAGATTCTAAGATTCCTTTTAGTGTCTGTAAGAAATGACTGTCCCTAGAGTTTTGCAGACTTAACAGCTCTATGTGTCAGCAGAAACCTGTGGAACTCCTTGCAAGAAGGAATTCATTGTTTCCAATACATATTTAATTTTGGAAAACAGTATCAGATTTGGCTCATTTTGCAGAGAGCGGCATCTGTATTGACGATGATTTTTAACTTGAACCAGTGCTGCAAATGTTTTGATAAATCATTATTTACATGTCTGTTGAGAATGAAATAATTTACAATACATTTTTTCCAATTTCTTCCTTCCCCTGTTCCAGATTCACGTCAGATGCACCAGGCTGCGTGTATGTCAGAGAATTCGCCGACTCAGAGGAGGAGCGTTTTCATCTTCTCAAGGCCAATGCAGTGCCTCCTCGTGAGTTGCCACAAGAGAGGGGCATACCTGGGCTTTCTACAGCCAGACAGTGGTACCTCTACAACAACATCCGTCGGTTTTGCTCTGATTCTACCAAGGATATCACATGTCCCCTTCCAAGTTTGCCGCGACCACAGGCTGTACCCGAGGAGTAAATCCAGTGAGCAGTCCAGCATCTAATGCCAATCTAGTGCCAAACATTTTTGTTTCTACCCAAAATTGTGTACATGTATCTTATTTTAAATGAGAAATATATAATTATAAATACAATTGAAATTCTGCCATAGGTGACTTACTGGTAATCACACAACAGTCATTTCTTACAGATATTTGCTTTCACAGGGATGACTCATTTCCTAATTTTGACCAAAATCCATGTTTTGTGACCCATTTGTAATGTTATTTTAACTAATTTAATTTGTGCAATACGTTTTCCATATTAAGGAAAAACATCCTCTGTGTGTGTATATTAAATGTGGTGTGCAAATGTTTAAGAATGTGCATGGTCTCTATGGAGTTCTGAATGTAAACAGAATTTTACCCAAAATGGCTCTTTTTAAGTGAGAAAGTTATAAATATTGCAATTCACGGCAAATTTGATTTACTTC